TTTTATATTGTTTTAATTATTTATTATTTTCAGGTATGATACTTGCTTTCTCTGAGTGAATTGTCTAACAAAAATAATTCGTTTTATTTTACAAATTGTTAGTATTTTAATTTCAAAGAGTAAAATAAATTAATTTAATTAAAAAACAGAATAATAACGTTAAAAAATAATGTGACATTAGAAATTGCAATTTTCATCGAACGCAGATGAAACGATACACGTGCGCCTAGTCCAGAAAAAATAATTTTCTAAATGGTAAAATTGTAAATAACATTTTTTTTGCAGAAAATCATTCGGAATAACATGTTATATTACATACTTAAATGTCCTGGCCGCCCACGTGCTTGTGTAACTTTTACCATAAAAAAATGGCCAAAAATGCGCTCTTTCAAAAATATCTCTGCAAGTATTTAACGTATCGAAAAAGGTCGTTATCAAACAGAAAGCTGACAAAATAACGAACAATTTGGTTTTTTAGTGAAGATCGTATGAGCAATACTTTCTAAGATAGAATTTTTTTTAGGAAGTAGTATTTTGTATCATTTCGAGAATGATTAAATTTGTCGCACTTTCTTCCTACATATCTCGGATTTGGTTACTTTTACGTAGAAAAAAACCTGTTATGGAGATTGAAGGTCATTAAATTCCCTACCAAATCGTTTTTTATACATCGTACGATCAATAGTTTTCGATATACGATTTTTAAGATGTTTTCTAACATTTTCGAACGAAACGTAATTCTTAGCATATCTTATAAATATTTCGGAATCAGCTACTCCTACGTAGAAAGAACCTGTTATCAAATAGACAGGTTTTTTAATTTTCTGCAAAATTGCTTTGTTACTAAAACTCATTCGATAAATAGTTGCCAAGATATAAATATTATTTCACATTGTAATAAACATTTAATGAATAACTTGCTTGTGGCTTATCATATGTGAAAAATAAACACAATCTTAAAGCTTATGAAATTACCTTGAAAATCATTATTTATTGAACTCCGTACGACCAATAGTTTCCCAGATACGACGTTTCAAAGATATGAGAGGACTCTCAATTTACGTTAGAATCTAAGTTTATATTTATCAGTACAAGATGTAATCGAATTGGAAAAATCAATATTCGTATTTTTCTCAAAGCGTATACGTATTTATATACCATCCTAGTTGTATACCACTCTCTATAATTTATTTTTGGAAAACCAGCGTCGAGAAAAATTGTTTCTACATTTCCTTACAAAACGTGTTTTTCATTACTTTTTTATAAATATCTCAATTTGTACTGGATTTACGTAAAAAATAGAGTATATGAAAAATAATGTTAATAAAATTATCTACAAAATGCATTTTTCTTGCTTTCCTGTCTATTAACGTGTGTGCAAAATACAGTTGTTTGAAGAAAGAGTTCTGCAATGATTTTACGACTGAAAATTATGGTCCACAACTTGTGTAGAAACGAAGTATTTGTAATAATATTAGGACAGCAACATTTTCTGAGCTAATAATAGATAATGTTCCCTTGAAATTGATGTTTAGTTCATATTTTTAAAACCAATATTTTCGAAGATATAACTGCGACCAAAACTTGTTCAGACCGCTATTTCTGAGAG